AGACGCACAGCTAACAGGCCGCGGTCCATGGGCAAGAGAGAAACCACAAACTTTAGATATAGCGCCACCTTCTGGAACACAAAAGAAAGGTTTCTAGCAGCCAGCCTGTTGAATTGTAAGACCAAAGAAGACATAAAGCCTTAATTAAGGAAGAATCGGCTACTCCAAATGCAAAAGCAGAAGAGCAAACTAACAAACATGAAAAAAAACATGGAAATGTGGTATCACAGAAAGAAAATGATAATTCTCCAGCAACGGAACTCAAAGGCACAGAAAAAGAATTCAAAATATCTGTTATGAAGAAATTCAATGAGCTATAAGAAAACTCAGAAAGACAGTTAAATAAACTCAGGAATAAAATTAATGAAAAAGGAGTTCTTTAACAAAGAGATTGAAATTTAAAAAAAGAACCAAACAAATTCTGGAGCTGAAGAATTCTGTGAATGAGATAAAGAATGCAATGGAAAGTACTGGTAACAAGGCAGGCCAGATGAAAGAATAAAAGACTTGCAGGATTGGAATATAGAAATAACTCAGAAGAGGAGAGAACGAAGATTTTAAGAAAGTGAAGAAACGCCATGAGAGCTATCAGATTTGATGAAAAAGTCAAATATAAGAATAATTGGTGTACTAGAAGGAGAAGAGAGGGAGAGGGAAGCAGAGAGTTTATTTAAAGAAACAATAGCAAAGTATTTCCCAGACCTGGGGAAGGACTTGAATATACATGTCCACAAAGCTGATAGAACATCCTATCATCTCAATGCAAAAAGACCTTCTCCAAGCACATTATAATGAAACTGTCAAAAATCAATGATAAAAAAAGAATCTTAAAGGTAGCCAGGGAAAAAAAGAAGGTAACCTATGAAGGAACCTCTATTAGTCCACTGCAGATTTCTCAGCAGAAACTCTAAAGGCCAGGAAAGAATAGAATGACACATTTAGAGTGTTGAAAGATAAAAATTGCCAGCCAAGAATACTTTATCCACCAAAGTTATCCTTCAGATATGAAGAAGAAATAAAGGTTTTCCCAGACAAACAAAAGCTGAGGGAGTTCATTACTAGACCTGCCTTGCAAGAAATGCTGAAAGAAGCTCTCAAGCTGAAACAAAAAGATGCTCATGAGAGACATGAAAACACAGGAAAGTACACAACACTCTGGTAGAGGTGAAAAATGGAATTTTAAAAATGTAACTCTATTAGAATGGTGTGTTAACAACTTAACTATGGTATAAAGATTAAAGGAAATGAGTATTAACAATAGCCATAGCTATAAAATTTGTTAACAAATACACAGTATGAAAGAGGTAAATTGTGAAATGAAAAATACAAAATGGAGTAAAAGGGTAGACCCTTTATAGGTGAACGGAGATTAGCTGCTATCAGCATAAAATGAACGGTTTTATCTATGAGATGTTTTATGTAAGCCTCACAAAGCAAAAATCTAGGGTGGATTCACAAAACATAAAAATGGGGAAGACAGAGCATACCACCATGGAAAATCACCAATTTACAAAGGTACGCAGAAACAGAGGGAAAAAGAAACAAAGGAGATAGAAACAACCAGAAGGCAAACAATAAGATGGCAGTAGTAAGTCTTTACATATCAATATTCACTCTAAATGTAAATGGATTGAATTCACCAATCAAAAGGCACAGAGTGGCTGGATGGATTAAAAAACAACACCAAACTATATGCTGCTTACAGAAGACTCATTTCAGCTTTAAAGACACACACAGGCTTCAAAGCGAAGGGATGGAAGAAGATATTTCATCAAACGGAAATCAAAAGAAAGTGGGGATAGCCATACTTATATCAGACAAAATAGACTTCAAGCCAAAAATGGTAAGAAGAGACAAACAAGGTCATTATATAATGATAAAGGAGTCAATACATCAAGATATAACAATCATAAATATGTACATACAAAACATCGAAGTACCTAAATATATTAATACTAACAGATCTGAAGGCAGAAATAGACAAGAATACAATTATGTAGGGGACTTTGATACCCCACTGACAGCAATAGATACATCATCCAGACAGAAAATTAACAAGGAAAAGTTGGAATTGAACCATATTTTAGCCTAAATGGACTTAACAGACATATATAGAACATACCATCCAATAGCAGCAGAATATACATTCTTATCAAGTGCACATGGAACATTCTCCAGGATAGATCATATGATAGGACACAAAACAAGTCTTAGAAGATTTAAGAAGAGTGAAATCATACCACTTATCTTTTCTGACATAATCGAATGAAACTAGAAATCGACAATAAGAAAAGGCCAGAAAATCTACAAATATGTGGAAACTAAAAACAACCAATGGGTCAAAGAAGAAATCAAGAGGGAAATTTAAAAAAATTACCTCAAAACAAATGAAAATGGAAAAACAATATATCAAAACCCATGGAATGCTGCAAAAGCAGTTCTGAAAGGAAAGTTTGTAGCAATAAAAGGATATATTAATTAGAAAGATCTCAAATAAACAATCTAACAACACCTCAAGCAATTAGAAAAAGAAGAACAAATTAAGCCCAAAGTGAGCAGAAGGAGGAAAATAAAGACTAGAGTGGAAATAAATGACATAGAGACCAAAAAAAAAAAAAAAAATAGAAAGGATCAATAAAATTAAAGGCTCGGTTTTTGAGAAGATAAATAAAATTGACAAACCTTTTGCTAAACTAAGAAAAAAGAGAGATAATTCAAAATTGTAACTGAAAGAAGAGACATTACAACTGCTACTAAAGAAATACATTGGATCATGAGAGACTACTGTGAACAATTATATGCCAACAAGTTAGATAGCCAAGAAGAAATGGATAAATTTCTAGAAACACTCAACCTACCAAGACTGAATCAGGGAAAAAAATAGGAAACCTGAACAGACCAATAAGTAAAAAGATGCAATCAGTAATCAAAAACCTCCCCACACAGAATATCCTAGGACCAGATGGCTTCACTGGTGAATTCTACCAAACACTTAGAGAAGAATTGATGCCAAACCTTCTCAAACTCTTCCAAAAAACAGAAGAGGAGGGAACACTTCCAAACTCCTTCTACAGGGCCAACATTACCCTGATACCAAAGCCAGATATGGACACTACAAGAAAACAAAACTATAGACCAATATGACTTATGAATAGAGATGAAAATATTCTCAACATAATATTAGCAAACCGAATTGAAGAACACATTCAGAGGATTATACACCATGACCAAGTGGGATTTATCCCTGGGATGCAAGGATGGCTCAATATATGCAAATCAATAAATGTAATACATCACATTAATAGAATGAAAGATAAAAATCAAATGATCATTGCAATAGATGTAGAAAAAGCATTTGACAAGATACAACATCTTTTCATGATAAAAACCCTCAACAGACTGGGTATAGAAGGAACACACTTCAACATAATAAAGGCCATCTATGACATTATACTTAATGCTGAAAAATTGAAAGCTTTTCCTCTAAGATCAGGAATAAGACAAGGTTGCCCATTCTCACCACTCTTATTCAATATAGTACTGCAAGTTCTAGCTGCAGCAATTAGACAAGATAAAGAAATGAAAGCCATCCAAATTGGAAAGGAAAAAGTAAGACTGTCACTATTTGCAGATGATATGATTTTGCATATAGAAAATCCCAAAGATTCAACCAAAAACTGTTGGAACTAATCAGTAATTTCAGTAAAGTTACAGGATATAAAAATCAACATACAGAAATCAATTGTGTTACCATACACTAATAATGAAATAGCTGGAAAAGAAATAAAACTATTTCATTCACGATACCATCAAAAGCAGTAAAATACCTCTGAATAAATTTAACCAAGGAAATCAAAGCTCTGTACAATGAAAACTACTAGACTTTGTGTCTTCTTCAATTTCTTTCAACAAAGAAATGCAAAGACATCCCATGTTCATGGTTTGGAAGAATTAATATTGTTAAAAATCCTATACTACCCAAAACCATCAATAGAGTCAATGCAATCCATATCAAATTCCAATGGCATTCTTCATAGAAATAGGAAAAGCAATCCTAAAACTTGTATGGAACCACAAAGGACCCTGAATAGCCAAAGCAATCCTGAGAAAGAACAACAACCTGGAAGCATCACACTTCCTAATTTCAAACTATACTAAAAAGCTAGAATAATTAAAACAGTATGGCACTGGCATAAAAATAGACACATAGACCAATGGAACAGAATAGAGAGCCCAGAGCTAAACTCCTGCATATTCAGTCAACAAGTATTCAAAAAGGAAGGCAAGAACACTCAATGGAGAAAGAGTCTCTTCAACAAATGGTGTTGGGAAAACTGGATAAACGCATGCAGAATAATGCAATTAGACCCCTATCTTACACCGCTCACAAAATTTAACTCAAAATGGATCAAGGACTTAAACATATGACCTAATACCATAAAACTCCTAGAAAAAAAATGTAGAAAAGAAGCTCCTCAACACTGCTCTTGGCAATTATTTTTTGGATATGACACCTGTAAAATTCCTAACTTGTTTAGTCTTTAAAAAAAAAAAAAAAGGTAGCAAACAACCACAAAATAGAGTAGGAAATTCATAAGCTCCATTGTAATCATGAAATCAACTTTTTCATTGGTATTTTGTCAACTACCTTAGAAGAAATTCAAGGCCTGATGCCTTCTATATATATGATCAGAGCACCAAAAACACCACAAAATGTACTCATTTGTGTTGGGCTTTGACTTTTTCAGTGAAGTAGAGCAACTGCACTCACCCACAATAAACAAGTGGTCACAGGTAAAGTAGAGAGTGAGGTGAGTCAAGGATCCAAAACATCACATTCCTGGTAATCAGTGAGATATGAATACGTGCATTTCATATGCCCATATTTTATGAAAGCCAGTGTGTTACTGACAAAGAACTAAAACAATTATTAAAGAACAAAGCTACTAATTCCAGACCTTGGACAAACCTCCTGGACTGTATGTCAGTGTTCTCATTTGTTACTCCTCATCCATCTCCTTACCAGAGCTGCTGCAGTAGGAGGGGTCAACAGGTCTTCCATTTTTATCAAAGCAGGCTATTGCTCGAAAGCGCGTGCCTTCTCCACATTCTTTGCTATCTCCTTGTACTCGCAATCCTCGCTGAGACTCTCTTCTGCCTTCTGGAAGAATGCAATCTGACCAGTTTCCATAAGGTTGAGATACAAACACATTACAAGGACATAGCTCCGTTTCCACTAGAGGGTACAGGTCAGCATCCTGGCATTTCTCCTTTTTCCTGCTTTTCCCTGTGCCAACAAGAAACATTGCTATATTAATTTAATATCTGTTGTTTTGTTAAAAGTCACTCACATTATTGCATTTATAAGCTCCTAGAATATTAAATCTTAAATGAAATAAATCCTTTTTTTTCCACTCTTTTTTGCTATAAAAGTAAATCCTAGGACAACAGAAGCAACTCCCAAAGCAACTGTGAAATTCCAATTAATTAAAAAAAAAAATGTTTTCATGTTGGAGAGTGGCACAAAATACTTAAAAGATGTTTGCTACAGTGGCTCAACAGCTAGAAAATTCGTATTAATTTATTTAATATTATTTTCCTTATAACTTGTTGATAAAAACTGATTACCTTGTCCCCATTGTCCTTCAAATTAAGGGTTGCCAGAGAAACCAACAAAATGGTGTAAATATTAACGCTCTCCTTTTTTTAAAGTATATTTTAAAAAACAGTTTATTCAAAGAACAAAGTGATATCCTCTCATACAATGACCCTGGAGTGAGGCTAGGTGTCATTTGGGGTGTGGTAGACAAAGAACTTACTTTAATCCTTGTCATCAGGCAGCTCACAAATGCTGACACAAACAACAAATTGAAATAAATGGTCAAATCATCTTGGATAATTTTTTCTTTTTTTTTGTTAGGAAGATAGGCTCTGAGCTAACATCTATTGCCAATCAACTTTCCTCTTTTATTTTTTTGCTTGAGGAAGACTGTCCCAGAGCTAACATCTGTGACAATCTTCCTCTATGTGGGATGTGGGTGGTATGTGGGATGCCGCTACAGCATAGCTTAATGAGTGGTGTGTACATCTGCACCCAGGATCTGAACCTGCGAACCCTGGGCTGCTGAAGCGGAAGACGTGAACTCAACCACTTCGCCACCAGGCTGGCCCCTCAGCTACTGGGGACTGGATAATTTAATCTGGGAAAAAGCTATGGCTTCCACTTTGAGAGACCTTTTCAACTTAAGTACTCTAGAATACGACTTTACCTTACCAGTTGATTCTGATGGACCTTTTAGCTGTGATCCCATCTTTGAGGAATGAGAACGCATATTTTTCACAGCTTTGAGTATTTGATAATTATGTTTAATGGATTCCAAGTCAGCCTGTAACTTGATTCAACTTTGCTGCCAACACACTTCCTCTAGATTCCTAAAAATTTTCCTAGATCTAATAATTCCACTTTCTGTTTCCTCATTAGCAAGTCGTTAGCTAGTTTTGGCTGTTTATTAAAAAAAAAAAAAGCAGTTTTTTGGGTCTGTTTCCAGTATTTATGGCTGTTTTAGAAATACTTGATATAAGCTGATGCATGGGTTACTTTCTTATTGTCAGACAGTTTACATTGCATACAACAGTTTTTCAGTTGTTGCCTAGATAATTGGCTCTATGGTCTTCCATGGTGCTTATGGCCACAATAAAGAAGAATTCCTACAGGATCTGAAATGACCTTGCAGGAGCTTCAGCCACACCACTGTCTCTCTGGGTGGATGTATTCACTTACCTCTACCATCAGGGGCACTTACTGAGAAAAAGTTTGAGAGGCACAGCCATGATAGAGGCTGTGAGAATTTACTGGTTGAGAGATATATCAATGGGTAGTGACTGGCACCTTCCTATCAGCATTTAACATGCCCAAGACTCTGGTGCTTCCCAAACTTCCATAAAGTACTGTTGCTTCCATCTCTTCCATTTCCCCTCTTTTCTCAACACACTTAACCCTGGATTCCGAGTCTATCTATTCCTTGAAACTACTTACTCTCGCCAAAGTAATAAAACAAAGACCTGGAATATCTTTTATCCCTTATCTTTCAGACTTGACCTTTCAGTGATAGTTCAGAGTGCTGACTACACCATCATTCTTGAAATATCCTTTCCAAGTTCCATCATACCTTACCTTTTTGTCCCTCAGCTCCCCCACTCCACACTTCCATCATCCCTCTGGTCACATCTTATTTGTTTGTTTGTTGAGATCTTCTCCCTCTGTACCTCTCTTAACTGATGGGCTTCCTCAGAGTACTGTCTTTGGTTCTCTTCTTTTCTGATCCTACATCTTTACCCACACAAAGAGTTTAAATAATCATCTAGACCTCTTAAATCCCTAGTTATTATCTTCAGCCCAGATTTCTTGCTCAAGCTTTGAGCCACAGACTGGAAATCTACACCTAAAGGACCAATCGAACTCAACCTGGCAAAACCCATACTCATCCTCTTCACATCACAGCCTTTCTTTCTCCTTCTGCATTTCCCAATTCTACCAACATGACCAAAACAAAAACTGGAACTCACATTTTTTTTTTTTTTTAAAGATTTTATTTATTTATTTTTTTCCCCCCAAAGCCCCAGTAGATAGTTGTGTGTCACAGCTGCACATCCTTCTAGTTGCTGCATGTGGGACGCGGCCTCAGCATGGCCGGAGAAGCAGCGCGTCGGTGCGAGCCCGGGATCCGAACCCGGGTCGCCAGCAGTGGAGCGCGCGCACCCAACCACCAAGCCACGGGGCCGGCCCTGGAACTCACATTTTAATCATTATGTTGCACTACCTATATCTGTTTAGTGACAAAGATTTATCATTTCAAAGGTCTAAATATCTCTTAATTAGCCCATTGTTTCTATCCTGACTGATATCATCCATACTTAGCCCACCTCTAAATCTCCAGCTTAAATCACTACAACAGCTTCTTTCAAGATCTTATTGCCACTGTACCTCACTCCCTTCACTCTATTCCCCACTCTTCAGCCAGAACCATCTTACAAAGATGGAAATCTGATCACATCATTCAGCTACTTAAAACTCTTCAGTGACTTATCACAGTTCATGGAATGAAGTCTAGACTCCTCATCATGGTCATCAAGGCTCCATAGGATCTGGGCCCATTAGTATCTGCCTCCTGCCTATACTGCACCACTCTGCCTCTAGAAAGTTACAAGCTAGTCATACTGAGCATCTTTCAGTTCCTGGAAATTACTCATTTGGCTTCTGGCCTTTGCATGTCTTCCTCCAGAAATTCTCACCAGTACTACCCTCCCCCAACAGCCTAGTTAATGTCTACTTATCCTTCAGGTCCAAAGTAATAGATTGCTCCCTCCAGAAAGCAATCCAGAACACACTCTTTGTTTCACGTCTGGAAGGGGTGCTCTTCTTCTGTACTTGCATAGCTTGTGGTGGGCAGAATAATAGCTCTCCAAGGTTGTTCATATCCTAATCCCTGGAACCTTGGAACATGCTACCTTAGAAGGCAAAATGAACTTTGTAGATGTGACTAATATTATGGATCTTGAGATGAGGAGATTATTCTGGACTATCTGGGTGGGTCCAACCCCATCACACAGGTCCTTAAAATCACAGAACCTTCCCTGGTTGAGTTGAGAGTCAGAGGGGATATGACTAGGAAAGAATGGTCAGAGAGATGTGATGTTACTGAATTTCAAGATGGAGGAAGGGATCCATGAACCAAGGGATGTGGGGAACCTCTAGAAGATGGAAAAGGAAAGAAAACAGATTTTCTCCTAGAGCCTCCAGAAAGGCATACAGTCCTGCCAACATCTTGTTTTCAGCCCTGTGAAACTTGTTTCTGACTTCAGTCCTAGAGAACTGTAAGATAATAAATTTATGTTGTTTTAAGACACCAAATTTGTGGTAATTTATTACAGCAGCAATAAGAAATGAACACAGCACCCTATATCACAGCTATTGTAGCAGGGACTGCACTGTGTTGTAATTGTTTGTAGTAAAAATTTCTATCCCCCATTAGACTGTAAGCTCTTAAATTAGGATCGTGTCTATCTATTCTCTTGTAGTATTCCCAAGGCCCAGCACACATAAGTGATAACAAAAAATGTTCATTGAATAATTGAGAAAAGAAAGTTTAAAATAACGGAGAAAGAGAAGGAGGGAGGAGGAAAGGAGGAAGAGTGAGTGAGAGAGTGAGAGGGAGAGAAAGGAGGAAGAAAGAAAGAAAATCTTCAATTACAAAGCAACTGAAAGTTACTGGCAGAACAAATATTCTGTACAAATATACTCTGTCTCTGTATTTTATATTAGTGATATCCTTCTTAATTACATGGCATCACTGTTTGAAGAAGGATTTGAGCAAGTTAGTTAATGCAGAAATGGTTCTCACAATGAGAAACAAATTATCAGTGGTCCATTACTTTGATTACAACCTAGTCAAAATCAGCATTAACCTTTGGATTCAGAACCAGCTAGTACCAAAAAAAAAAAAAAATCAATCCCTAATACAACTCTAAAGACATTTTTTCCCTCTTAAGTCAGAGGGAAATTTGTGACTGATCCCATAAAAAAACACAAAACTACAAGTAAATATTAAATTTGTGTGTATTAGTTACCGAGTTATTTTGAATATATATATATATGAATAACCTAGACAGAGCTTCTACTTCATGGCTTATTTTCAGAATTGTATAAACAACTGCTTTAATTACCATTCAATCTAAAACTTGTGATGATCTAGTTTAGGTACAGATACTGAATTAAAGCCTCTTGTTAAAAATGGAAAAAAGAAAAAATAAACACCCTAGATGGTCCCCATTCAATGGAGTGGCTTGTGTTTGTGTCTGTATGCTTCTCCACATGTGTCTGTGTTAAAGATAGAGTCACACTGTTTTACAGTCTAAGTCCACGCCTTTTACTATCATCCACGCTAGAGATTGCAAGTTTACTTCCCAATTATGTGGGAGAAACCAAAATACAAGCATTAGTATCACAACAAGAAAAATAAGTCTTGAGAAGTAGAAAATTTCAATTCACTACTGTTCCCCCCCCCACAATGATACTAAATGATTCATTTGATTTTTTTGCACAACTCATGTATTTCATGAAATTGACCAGTTGTTTTGGTGTCACCTAGACAGAGGACACACAAAGATCAATCAGCCAGCTAAAACCATAGCAGTTAATAATTTAGAAAAGAAATTCTAAATAGTTTTTAGTTAGCAGTTTTTGGGATAGCATTTGCTGAAAAATATATAACAGTTCTTCCAATATCTACATAAAAAGTATATTTTAAATAGAAGTCAAATTCACTCAAGTTTTGACAATTCATAAGATAAACTGCACTAGTTGTAAAATGGATAAATATCCTAGGATTTCCAATATTTTCCATTGTCAGTTTGCAAGTATAAAATATCATTAGAAAACTTTCAAAAGAAAGAAAGAAAACCGGCCACTAATGAACTTTCTTCCCCTTTAAAAGGAATTCTCTTCATCTCACAGGTATAGAGAGAGTTGCTAGGTTGATGGCTTCCTAAGCATTATGTATCAACAAGCAAACCAAGCTCAAATAATTTTGAGCAAACTCAAAATTATTCCTGTCATACACATTCTATCCCATTATATTGTTCTCCATAAGAAATTTGTTTTATCTTACAAACACAAGCAATGTTGTGTAAAATTATATATGCACTGATTTTTGTAGAAGAGAGAGCACAAAGTACAGCATATTTTATTTAATGTTTCTACTGTGATTATGTTTCACCTGCACTTACAAATGAGCTCCTGACTTATGTGCAGAGATCCTTTAAAGGCTTTCATCAATTAAGTAAATCCATTAGAGTGAGTTAAATTGAATACATAATCTTGTAAGCAATGCACTCAAACAAAGGGGTCTTGAAACCAAGAGAATTAGCACTTGAGCTGCTCATAAGAACAAATGGTCATTTCTGCTTAATTCTTCAATGTCAACACGAAGTTTACTATTCCAATGATTTTTTTGGCTTTTTTGCGGGGGGGCATTCATTCCCTGAATTAAGTTTTCTACATATACAAATACACATACAATTAAGAGAAGTTCCGGCGTATTTATCTAGACAAGTAGTACAATACACTACTACAGCAATTATTTGTATAATACAGGCAAAAATTGCTCCAGGACCTCGATTAAACTATTAATTGCTTTAATTTCTGTTAAGTTTCATGGATATAAACAGAACCAAGAATAATATACCATAAAAGAAGAATCTACATATGTAATTTGATTTTTGCCTTACACTACTAAAATTTTAAAATGTCAAATTGCTTATAAGGTAATGGCAAAAGAAGACAACATAGGTTAGATCTGCCTTTGTTTTGTCTTGTTTTGTTTTTTACATCAGTGGTGACTGCTTTTTTTTTTTTTTTTAAGATTTTATTTATTTATCTTTCCCCCCAAAGCCCCAGTAGATAGTTGTATGTCATAGCTGCACAACCTTCTAGTTGCTGTATGTGGGACACAGCCTCAGCGTGGCCAGAGAAGCGATGCGTCTGTGCGCACCCGGGATCCGAACCCCGGGCCGCCAGCAGTGGAGCGCACACACTTAACCACTAAGCCACGGGGCCAGCCCCGACTGCTTTCAACTTTGTTAAGACCCTGGCTGACAAAACACCAGAAACTTTGCCATTAACTATTCCAAGGTAGTTGGTGGATATGTTGCCGTTTATGACTACAAAGATTATAAAGCTGTATAGAGAGGAACTTCATAGCTATAGAATGGTTCACATCTTTCATCCATTTCACACATATTAATTGAGTACATATTATGTGCCAGGCATAGGCACAGAGAGTACATAATGGCTGGGAGGGGCGAGGAGAGGGAGAGACCTGATACAATTTCCTGTCCTTCTGGAGCTAGCATTCTCCTTGGGAGGTTCAGGAGTGCATTGCTTGTCTGAAGGTGAGGAGTGAATGGCACATCCTACCTGTGAGCTGTCGCCGTCTGCTGCGGGTTGTTTCACAATTCGTGGAGCAGGGTGTAAACTTGGACCAAGCAGTGAAGGTGCAGTCATCTCGACATGGGACCATGCATTCTTGCACAAGGGGAGGCATGCCATTTGTCTGCTTGAGGCATTCTGTCATTTCTGCTGACTGGATATCATCAGAGATGCATGAGACCGCTAAAAAAAAAGCATGGATTCTTTATTATTTTGATTAAATCAGCCTGCTGCTGGTTCTTTGACAAAATAGAATCCCCTAATGTTAGAAAATTTGGTTATCACTGTAATTGCAAAAGGTGTTCAACATAGCTAACCTTACTTCTCTTGGAAATTAAGTGTTTATTGTTGCCAGTGGAGGGATTTGAGGATTTAATTGGTTTCATTATTAATCCAAACCCTGCATTGACAGTAACCAAAATAACTTTCAGTAATTTATTGTACGTTCTGCTTGTGAGCATCTGATCTCTAGGGATGATATAAAACTAGGAAAGAGAATCTGTAAGAGGGTAATATGAGGACAAAAAAGGACAAAACCATTACAATCATATGAACTCTTCCTAGATTTGAATTTTGTTTGCTTGTTTAAATGGCACTTATGCAAGTGATCCTATTTTCACTTCCCAGTCAGTATTTTAACAGGAATTTCTGTTGTCTATAAGTAAACCTTTTTCTCCTTATTAACATTTCAGGATCAGTTAAAAATTTTAAATCATTTTTTTCAAGTATAGGTATAATCTATCCAGATAATTCCCATTACAAATATCCTATCAATTGCAGATAACTCTTCAAAATTTCTCTCACATACTTTTTCAACTAGAATGTCTCTACTCATACCATAAAATAACTATTAATCTCAAGGTAAAACATTTATGAAATTTTGCTAAATTTCATATTTGGTTCTTTGGACTAATGGTCTTTTTTTCAATTACGAATGAATGAAGTTTTTGTGCATCTTTTATTTTCCCTAATTATGGATTCTCTAAGGATGTGTCTTTATATTCTCTAGACCAACACTTCTCAACCTTGGCACTATTGACATTTGAGGTTGGATGCTTTTATTGTGTGGGTACATGAATGAGTCTTGGGCATTGCAAGATATTTGGTAGCATCCCTGGCCTCTACCTATTAGATGCCAGTAGCACACACCCCCTCCCAGTTATGAAAACCAAAAATGACTCCGATCATTGTCAAATGTTGTCCCCAGTTGAAAACTACTCTTATAAACTGATTCTGAACCATGGATGTCTATGAGAATACAGAGAACCCATGGCATGACTTCAGACCTACTGTATCAACATCTCTATTTTTGTCTTTGAGTGTCCCAGGTGGTTCTGATCTAGCCTGTCCACTGACCACCCACATTTGGCATGATGCCTTTGGACACGATGTTAACAGATAGTTGCTGAGTTCATCATCCTTACGAAATCATAGTTTAGGATCATTTTTATTACAGCTCTTTAAAATCTACCACATTACAAGGAATAAATAGACCACAGGTTATAATCAACATTTTTTTTTTTTTTT